TGGGCTGAGGGCTATGGGGACCGTGGTCTCGGGGAACATCTAGCTCAATTGGCATAACATAGTTTATAAAGAAAATGTTCTACATTCTACTTTGGAGAGTAGCGTCTGGGGTCTTAAAAGCTTGTGAGCAGCCATCTAAGATACTCCACTGGTCTCACCCTGTCAGGAGCAAGGGACAATGAAGAAAACCAAAGACACAAGGGAAAGATTAGTTCAAACAACTAATGGACCACAACTACCACAGCCTCCACCAGACTGAGTCCAACACAACTAGATGGTGCCCAGCTACCACCGACTGCTCTGACAAGGATCACAATAGAGGGTTCCCATGTAGAGCTGGAGAAAAATGTAGAACAAAATCCTAACTCACAAAAAAAAAAAAAAAAAGACCAGATTACTAGTATGACAAAGACTGGAGAAACTCCAAGAGTATGGCCCCCAGACACCCCTTTAGCTCAGTAATGAAGTCACTCCTGAGGTTCACCCTTCAGCCAAAGATTAGACAGGCCCATAAAACAAAACTAGACTAAAGGGGCACACCAGCCAGGGGCAAGGATAAGAAGGCAAGAGTGGACAGCAAAGCTGGTAATAGGGAACCCAAGATCGAGAAGGGGAGAGTGTTGACATGTTGCGGAGTTGGCAACCAATGTCACAAAACAATATGTGCACTAATTGTTTAATGAGAAGCTAGTTTGTTCTGTAAACCATCATCTGAAGTACAATAAAAAGAAAAAAATCAAAAGACTAAATGCTTTCCTAAGATCAGAAACAAGACAAGAATGTTCACTCTTGTCTTATCGTTGGTTAAAAGACACATAGGAAGAAACACTACCATATTTTCACACAAATAACGCACACATCCTACTGTTTTGCCAACTGTGTCCTCCTCCCATGAGGTATTTTCGTAAGCGCGCTATGCTAATATTTTTAAACGCTGCTGCAAAAAAAATCAGCAAAGTACGGTTCTGAAAATACCTCATGGGGGGAGGGCACAGTTGCCAAAAAAACACAGAATGCACATGTTATTTGTGTAAAAATATATCTTTTCACTAATTCCCAAATCATATGGAATAAATCCTTATCATTTATTACAAATGCATTTAGCAAGCTGACTAATCCTGTGATTTTTCTTTCTGTATGAATTATGGGTTTTTCCTCTATGTTCCACCCTCTCTTTCTTTGGATTTGATATAGGGAGGAGAATGGACTTCTTGATTATTCACAGGCAGAACAGCCACCTAAGTGCTCTGAGAAAAGAAGAATACTGATTCATCAATAGCCTTTCCTGTGCTTTCCTTCTTCAAGTATTACTAGCTAATGTCATGCTTTCTCAATTACAATAGTTTTAAACCTATTTTTCAATCCCTACGTAGGAGAGATATGACACAATGACTTCCCACAGCAGTTACTCTAAACCTGAATAGGGAGCCAGAGCATCATGTCTGAACTTCAAACTGAAGGGCAGGCTGGCAGACAGGGTGGGAATGGAGCTCTTATAGCTTAGAAACATCCTCTCTCCAGTCTTGTGCCTCTCTCATTATTTGTATTACGTTATCAGCACAGCTTAGCAACAGACACAGCAGAATATCAAACAAACAAACACACATTTAAAAAAGAAATGAGAAAGCAATTTTTCTAACACCTACGAAATACCCAGTATTTCATATACTTACTCTCATTTAATCCTCAGAACAAACCAGTGGGATGGGTTATCACTGCCCAACTTTATAAGTAAGGAAAAAAAGTATAAGATTTGAAAACAATGTAGAAAAAAAAGAGTCTAAAGATTTGTCCTATCATATCAAGTATACATACCTGGTACTTCTAGTAGCAGAAAATAAAGCCCAGCAGCATGAAGGCCATATTCTCGATACTGCACACTGATGTTTTTCTTATGTACTATTTGAACAAAGTGATAAAATAATGCCACGAGTACACTGTGAGAAATATTGTTCTCAGTGAAGAAGGTCCAAAGGTTCTAGAGAGAGGAAGAAGGATAAATCACAGAAACCAATAATTAGAGAAATGGAAAAATCTCCTATTATTTGATTTTTTCAAGTACTTAGTGCCTTACAAAAAGAGAAACAGGCCAGTCTGATTTCTAATGATAAATGTTTGCCATCTTCTAATGGACGCAAACAATAAATTACATTTAAAATTTTATTATTCAAATTACAAAGATAGATAAGTATATAAGATATTCATAGAGTCAAACCTTTCATAAGTAGATTTTAAGGATACAAACTTCTGAAATCATTAAAGGTTGTTAATCAAACTCATTACACTAAGGCCTTTGAGCCACTCTACATTAGTTATTAAAGGAGCCCTAGTGGCGCAATGGTTAAGTGCACATGTGATGGTTAAGGTTGTGTGTCAATTTGGCTGGGCCATTATTTACAGTGGTTTGACAGTTATGTAATGATGTAGTTTGGCAGTTATGTAATGATGTAATTATCCTCCATTTTGTGATGTGATCTATTCAGCTCCCATTTTGTGATCTGATGTGAGCAGCCAATCAGTTAAAAGTGGAGTTTCTTTGGGGGCGGGGGGTGTGGGTGGTGGCCTGCATCCAATACATAAAATGGATGTTCTGGCAAAGTTCACTCTGCATCCTGTATCCAACTCATAATCTTCTGACTGTGGTGCTTGGGACGTGAGCCAGCAGCCTGCTGCCTGACCTGCAGATCTTGGGATTTGCCAGCTCCAGCAACCCTGTGAGCCAGCAGTCTTCTGTCTGACCCGCCAATTTTGGGTTCATCAGCCCCTGTGACCCTATGAGTCAGGAGAAGCCTCCAATCTGACGCCTGATGCACAGATTTGGGACTCGCTAGCATCCACTACTGCACTGTGATAAATTTCCACCATTTTCTTGAGATAAATTTCTATATACATATTTATACATATACACTTCACTGGAGAACTCAGCCTAAGATAGCACATGACAACAACAAATTCATTATTACTCAGTGAAATCACCCTTCCATCTATGTTAAACGTACCCAAAGGCCATTTTTCACTCTAGTTACTAACTGAGGACACCAGAGACATTTCTTGGCTGCTAACCAAAAGGTTGGCAGTTTGAACATACCCAGTGGCTCTGCAGCAGAAAGACCTGGTGATTTGCTCCCATAAAGATTACAGCCTAGAAAACCCTATGGGACAGTTTTACTCTGTTACACAGGGTGGCTATGAGTCAAAATCAACTTGATGGCACCCAACAACAACAGACTGTGGCAATGGGAGCAGGAGAGAAAACACCAAAAAGTATCTCCCTCATAGACTTCAGAAGTAGCCTCAGTGTGAAAGAAAATAAACCCTAAAATATAAACAATTATATTAATTTTATCACTGTTTCATGCTTTCTCCTAATAAACACATGTAGAGGAAATGTATTATTTCCATAAACTGAACATGGCAGCAATGAAATATTATTTATCCTTCAGTACCTTAAAAAAAAGTGGGGGGTAACGCTAGGAAACGGAGGCATGAGCAGGTATAGAATCCTGACTCTCCTCACACAAACAACAAGAAAAGCAACTAGAAACCTGCACTCAACCCTGTAAGAACCTTGAAAAGATAGTCAAAAGACAGCGGCAAGAAGCCACAAACTGAAACAAGGTAAGAATGAATCAAACCTCAAACAGTATGAAAACGCCTCCTTTCACTATCCCCAGCCCCTCCTCCAGGTGTGGCAGCTCCAGAGGACCCAGGCTCTCCTGTGCACTAAGAAGGGCCCTGATACCTGGCACTGAGGTAAACAGGGCAGATGTTCTTAGTGAACTGTTCAGGGTATATGTGCTGCCCAGTCTAGGAACCCCAGTCTGGCCTAAATTGGAGCCCTCACAGAGTGGTGGAGTGGTGAGCCAAGGACTGAAGGCTGAGGGCACACTGATCAATGTGTGTTTTCTGATTCAGCTTGGAGCCACTGAAGGAGTGAAATCTTGGATTGGCCTCAATAAGAAATCTCATGTGGTGGAGGAGACTGGTGAGCAAAGTTTGAAGACTGCACCAGCCTAAAAGTTCCTTGCAGAAATTAGTGTTCTCAAAAGCACTGTGTATACAGGGGAACTGAAAGGGCTACATACTGTTAACACTCTAATATCTCAAATTTAACAGAAAAATCACAAAGACACACAAAGAAACTAGAAAGGATGACTCCTTCAAAAGAACACATAAAAACCCGAATAATGGACACATGAAAGAATACAACAATATTAAACAAGCTCAAGGAACCAAAGAAAAACAAAGAACTAAAGGAAATTAAAAACATGATGCATGAGCAAAAGAGACAGACTATAAGAAGAAAGCAAACAAAAATAATGGAACTGTAAGATACAGTAACTGAAATGAAAAACTCATTGGAAGGAACTTAAAGCAGATTTGAGCTGGCAGAAAAAAGAATCAGAGAACTAGAGGATAAGGTAATTGAAATGCAGCCTGAAGAGCAACAAGAGAGATGACCGCTGAGCATAACATGATGGAAACGTGGGACACCATCAAGCAAACTAACACATACATGAGACTCTCAGGAGGAAATGAGACAGAGAAGGCATGGAAAGACTATTGGGAGAAATAATGGCACAAGACTTTCAAAATCTGACGAAGGACATAAATCTACAAATTCAACAATCTCAATTAACTCCAAGTAGGATAAACCCAAAGAGATCCATACCAAGACACTTTATAATCAAGCTCTAAAAAACTAAAGATAAGCTAAGTGCCCATCAACAGACAAATAGATAAACAAATTATGGTATATATACACAATAGAACACTATGCAATGATAAAGAACAACGATGAATCTGTGAAACATCTCACAACATGGATGAATCTAGAGAGTATTATGCTAAGTATAATAAGTCAATCACAAAAGGACAAATATTGTATGAGACCACTTGAGTTTTATAAAAACTCAAGAAAAGGTTTACATACAGGAAAAAATCAATCTTTGATGGTTATGAGGGAGGGTAGAGTTGAAGAGAGGAAATCATTAACTAGATAGTAAACAAGTGTTAACTTTGGTGAAGGGAAAGAAAAAAACACAATATAGGGGAAGTCTGCACAACTTGACCAAGGTAAAGTCACTGAAGCTTCTTAGACACATTCAAACACCTTGAGGGACCAAGTTACTGGGGCTAAGGGCTAGGGACCAGAGTCTTGGGAGGACATCTAGGTCAACTGGCATAACATGTTCATAAAGAAAATGTTTTACGTCTTATTTTGATGAGTGGTGTCTGGGGTTTTAAAAGCTTGCGAGTGGCCATCTAAGATACAACTATTGGTCCCATTCGTCCACAGCAAAAGAGAATGGACAAAAACAAAAGACACAAGGAAAATATCAGTCCAAAGAACTAATGGACCGCATGAACCATAGCCCAAAACTAGATGGTGCCCAGCTACCACCACGACACCTCTGACAGGGATCATAATAGAGGGTTCTCGACAGAGCAGGAGAAAAATGTAGAACAAAATTCAAATTCACAAAAAAAAGACCAGCCTTACAGGTCTGACAGAGACCAGTGGGACCCCCAAGACTATGGCCCCTGGACACCCCACTAATTCAGAATGGAAGCCACTCCCGAAGTCCACCTTTCAACCAAAGATTAGACAGGCCTATACAACAAACACGTGTTAGGAATGTGCTTCTTAGTTCAATCAAGTATACGAGACCAAACGTCCAAAACCCGCTCAAAGGAAAGATGAAAAGGCAGGAAGGGACAGAAAAACTGAGCAAACAGACATGGAGAACCCAGGGCGTAAAGGGAAAGGGGAAGAGTGCTGACATATTGTGGGGATTGCAACCAATGTCACAAAACAACTTGTGTATAAATTTTTGAATGAGGAACTAATTTGCACTGTAAACTTTCACATAAAGCACAATAAAATTAAAAAAAAAAAAAAACTAAAGATAAAGAGAAAATTGTGAAAGCAGTTAGAGAGAAGCAAACTATTATATACAAAGTCTCCCCAATAAGATTAAAATGCCAATTTCTCATCAGAAACCTTGGAAGCCAGAAGGCAGTAGAATGACATATTTAAAGTGCTGAAAGAAAACAACTGTCAACCAAGTTTGCCAACCAAGGCTGGCAAAACTGTCCTTCAAAATGAGGGCAAAATTTAGGCATGTGAAGATAAACAAAAGCTGAGAAAGTTCATCACCACTAGACCTAAATAAAACAGTGGATTTATCTATTTCTGCTTTCACTTCTGTCAGTTTTAGCTTAAGGCATTTTGAAAGTTGGTTAGGTACAAACTTATTTATGATTATGTCTTCTGATGAACTGACCCTTTTCGTATTATGTTATGTCCTCTGTCTGGTTATATTCCTTGTTCTGTATTCTTTGTCTGATCTTGTCAATCAACACAGAGAAGCCATTTGACAAATCCAACATCCTTTCATGATTAAAACACTAAACAAACTAGGAACAGGAGGGCAGTTCCTCAATATCATAAAAGGGTATTTATGGAAAAACCTAAAGCTAATTATCATACTCAATGGGGAAAGATTGACAGCTTTCCCCTTAAGATTAAGAAAAAGACAAAGATGTCCACTCTCACCACTGCTATTCAACATTATACTGGAAATTCTAGCCATACTAATTAAGCAAGAAAAAGAAATAAAAGGTATTCAAATTGGGAAGGAAGAAGTCAAATTATTCCTTTTCACAGATGATATAACTGACATAATTTTGACATAATTCTATACATAGAAGACTTCAAAGAATCCACAAGAAGGTTGCTAGAGCTAATAAATGAATTCAGTAAAATGGCAAGGTACAAGGTCAACACAAAAAAATCAACAGGGTTTCTATACATCAGTAGCGAAGATTCTGAAAAGTAAACCAAGAAAACAATTCCATTTACAATACCACCTGAAAGAATAAAACTGCCAAGAATAAATTTAGCCAGGGAAGTGAAAGACTTGTACACTGAAAACTATAAAACATTACAGAAAGGAATTAGAGAAGACCTAAATA